CCTCACAACCAGCAGCCCTAACGTAAAATTCTAGTCCCTAATGGGAGGAATCAAAACTAAATGGAAGAACCGGAAGCGGTGTTTTACAACTTACTTAGTAAGATCTAATCGGTGGTGTTCATTTTGTGCTTTCCTAATAGATAACATTAGTCATGATAACAATTTTGGTATTAAAAGCAAAAAAAAAAAAAACACACGGATTACCTCGTACGGTGCTTACCTATTTTCCAACTGGGAATGTGTAAGTTTGTGAGTGTGTGAGTATGTTTGTTGCTCTTTCACGCTAAAGCGGCTGGAAGTACTTGAATGAAATTTGGCACACGGATATTTTATAGCCTGGATTAACATACATATTTGGATATTTTAAGAGAGTTGCCACCTTTTCCAAATTTCTAAATCAATTAAGGAATAAGTTACATTAAATAATTACAACAATGTGGGTGTCCAACGAAATGGGTTTGAAGGCTATTTATTTCGAAAATATTTTCTGAAGATGGTTGCCACATGTTGTAAAAGTTTTAAATAATTTAATTAACAAGTTAATTGAAATATTTTAATGCGTATATATAGGTTTCAAACGAGAGAGATTAAAAAAGCATTATTTTGAAAATACTTTTAAGCAGGATTTCCACCTGTTTAGAAATTAAGAATCAATTTATTGGACTTGACAAGTTAAATTAAATATTTCAATATGCTTGTCAAACGAGGGGTTTAATTAAAAGTCTAAGAGTCAGTGACATTTTTCGTCATTATTTAGTTAAGGAATCTCTTTGCCAGAGTTGCAACGACTTTAAGTCTAAAATTAAATTGGCAGATCGAAATTCCGTTATTAACTACCTGGCAGAACGATTTAAATGCTCTTCGATTTCGTGTAGTTTGCGGGTAAATTTATTTAATTAAGAATTTTTCTAATGAAAATATTGGATAACTTTGATGTATTATTTATAATTTTATTAATTGAAACAATTATTTAATGACAGCTAGCGACAAAAGTCTAGGCACAGAGAATTTTCCACACTTTCTGGAAAACTATTTATTTTAATTTTCTTTCAAAATAAAAAATATGTATAGTTCGTACTAAAAAAACATGAAAATAATATTTCTAAGCATATAATAAAAGTTACAGTTCATTTAAAAGAGTGGTTAAATGAAACATCATCCGAAAAAAGATAAAGAATAGATTTTTCTAAAATATTTTTGAAGAAGTTTGGTTGCTACCTGTTTTAAAAAATCAATTTTAGTTTAGTTAATTGAACTATGACATCGAGGTTCATTTGTATCTTAAATTTAATAATAAATAATTTACACATATGACGACTATCTACAAAAGATAAGTTGATTTAATTGAAATTTGGAACAAACTTTGGCCATGTTGTGAGATATTTTAATTTTATATAAGAGCATCAAAATGATCAGCACAATTCAATAGAAGTCGGTATAACTGATTGAGGTGCAGCTATAACATTTGACGTGGGCGAGGCCCTAGGAAAAACGTAGTACTATTATATTAAATTTTAGTATAAAAAAGTTTTAAGCGGCTGCAAAAACGCGTTGATTTTTAATATTTTTTTTTGTGCTGCCGGCAAACCTTTTATTATGTTAAAATTTAAGGGACTACCAAATTGCATACTCGAAAAAATTCTAAAAAATCAGAGTTCAATCTTTAATGAAGATTTGTTAAATTTTTTTAAGCTCTGTATAACGTTATAAATTTTTATGAAAAAATAACAAAATAATTTTAACTTTAAAAACCTTGCAAATATTTAACAAAAATCACCGTGTACTCATTTTTGCTCCCCACTGTACATATGTATATGAAGTTTTTAATCATCTAGTTCTAAATCTCTAAAGAACCAATATACCAAAAAAAGGGACTAATTTTCAAAATTCCTCTTTATTTTCACCTTAATATGCATATAAATTTTACACGCAAATGCATTCAATCCAGGCCGTTGATGAAATTATTTGGTATAAGACAACATTTACGACTCATTCAACCCATTAATAGCCCATACGCCTTCTCACATTGGACGTGTAAGAAAAACAACATATGCATATGTACATACATTAAGCCGTATCACGACATATGAAAGAAAAAAGTTTAGTGTGTGTCACTTTGTCGAGAGAAATTTTAGAATTACTATCCCTTCATTTTTATTTTTATACTTTAACTCTAAAGCTCTCGAGACGACCTTGCTAAAAAAGGCTTAGGCTTTATTCAATTATAGTCCTAAGCGAGGAATTTTCAGTGACATAAAGACTTTAAAAATCGGATATCAAATGGGAAAGTTTTAGCCTAAAAAAATGTTTGTACCCAAAATTTTCTCTCGACATATGTATTCAAATAAAACTGACACACGCTAAACTTTTTTTCGTGATACGCCTTAATGTACATATATACATACATATGTAGGTGCATGAGCTTTTATATATGTACATGTGTAGATATTACAGATTAAAAGTTGGCCGATTGGGCTCGTACATTTCTTATTTTTTGGTGCTGTAGCGTTCTGAGAAGCAATTCAATAGAATTTCACTGCAACTCTTTGTGTACATATGTACATATGTAAGTAATTTAAATTCAATAAGCATTCGGCGCTTACTCAAAGTTCACTACAAAAGAATAGGCAAGTATGTACGTACAACCAAAATACGAATAAATTTGACTCTTTTGCACATTGCTAAGTGACAATTTTTTGAAGATTCGCAGAAATATGGATAAAAGCAAAAAAAAAAACATGGGTTAAAGATAATGTAAACTCACTGGACTTTGATATGAAAACATACATATGTAGGTTGCTTGCAATTAAGGGCCGATTGTTCAATATCTGATTAGCACAAGTCGGAGTTAGAAGCTCCGGTTAAATACAACGACTGCTTTATCGAACACATGATAAGTAGTGATAACCACAGGTTAAACATTGTTATTGACGTTAGCGACTCCCTGTTATATGTTATGGAGTCGATCACGCCGATAAAGATGTTTAACTTCCAGTTAGTGTTAACCAGACATTGAGAAACTGGCCCTAAGAGCCGTTTGCTCATTATCTGGTTAACCCTAACAGCAAGTCAAACATCCTTATTGACTCCCTGTTAAACGTTATGGTGTCTTAGATAACAGTTATTGAAGACTTTTATCTATAAAAGTCATCAACAAAAATCAGTCAGTGTCTTTTACTTTTAAAAGTCATCAATATAAGTCAGTCACCGACTTTTATATTTTAAATTATTTGTATAAAAGTCATAAACATTTTTCGCAGTTAAGAAGGTGTTGGGAAACAAAAGTTTACTACGACTTATACAAATTACATTTATAAGTATGGTTTAAAAAATAAAGGTCAGTCACTAATTTTTATTTATGACTTTTATAAATAAAAGCCTTCGATAACTGTTATCTAAGACATATAATTTAAAAATCAAAAATAACTGTTATTGGCAGATTATTTAGATAAAAAAAATTGTTATTTTGGATTTATAAAATCAAAGTAACGGTTAAAAAACAACTATTTAAAAATAGAACCTCTCTTGATTTTGCATTTATGTCGCGAAAATATTGATTCAACTGTTGAGAGGTCTTCCACATACAAATATAATTTATGTAAATCAATCGTGATGTTACTCTTACTACTTCCATTTGAAAATATGTTTTCACTTATTTCACGTTAACTGCAATCACATTTGAAACTTTTGAGCCTTTACTCAACTTTAAGAAAGACACAAAAGGGATTAAGTTCGTGAAAAACGAGGAAAAGTAAAATTATGTCCTAGCAAAAATAAAAATAATAAAAAATAAATGATTTTGTTTCAAATTTTAAAAAGGCTTAAAAAAATACAATTGTACCGGCTTTTCCATAACTGTTGCAGAGGTCTCACAGGTGGAAATAAGAAGCTTTTGGAAAAAGTTCATAGCGATAATGCAGTGGTTTGTAACCCAGTGAGCTTTTTAAAACGGAAAGCGATCGTTGGTGCCATATGGTGTCGAGTTGGGCCTATATTGGCCTATTTGTAGGGGGAATATACTCCTCATCAAACCTTATCTAAACCAGACCCGCTACTGCTCATTTAACCAGCAAACAAAAAATACACCAAACTCCACCACACTGGGGCTGAGAACGTTTACTTACAACTAGTTCATACACTGGCGGTCATTAGAATATACTCGCCTTACTTTGAAGAGTTTTGGCTATATTTCCATGGTTTATTTTATGTTTAATATTTTTTTATAAAAGCCTTTCTAGCTATTCAACAAACACCATATAAATACCTTTTTCAAACTTTATACAAAATTTTTTAAAAATTCGAAAAATGTTCACCAAATTTTTAAACTTTTTATTCAGAATTTTTAGAAAAATTGTTGGTATGCAGTCTGGCTAGCTATACAACAAACACCATATAAATCCCTTTTTCAAAAAATGTTCACCAAATTTTTAAACTTTTTATTCAGAATTTTTAGAAAAATTTCTGGTATGTAGTTTTGTAGCCCATTCAATTTTTGGATAAGTTTCAATTGGCTACAAAAAACCGTTAATTTTTAAGAATTTTTTCTGCTGAAGTAAGGCGGATCTATTCTAATGACCGCCAGTGTACAAGAAACTAACTTCGATTTTAACTCGCTAAAATTGCACTCAAAGAGATTTCAGATTACAATTAAGAATATAATAACATAGCATAATAAGCATTTCTTCAGAGTAAAATTTTGTAAAATAAAATAGCACTGACGTGTTCGCGCAGTCTTTGAATTTCATTGATAGTTGGAAAAACACAAAAAAGTGACGTATGTAGATTGGTAAAAGCGCAAACTCATTGGCCATCATAAAAAAAAAAATTGTTTAAAGAGAGCAATCTTAAAAATCAGCTAAAACGATAGCAAAGAGATTTTATACTCGTAAATGTAGACTTGGTGGGCAGCTCTGATCGCACGTTTTTGATACGAGCGTGCGGAGACGGTATAAAAGTGACGCGCGACTACTCTTCACTTAAGAGTCTAGTACGGACGGTCAGAATGTGCGGAGCGCACTCGTTATTGGGAAAGGGTTCTAAAAACAGTGGCAACAAACGCATCATTACATTGGCAATTAATTGTACGTTTAATTTTTTGGTAGTAAATTTTGGTTGAAAACAGTGCTGTTGTGAGTTTTTATTTTTTTTGCTAAAAGTGTGGAGCGCTAGGCAGCAGAATGCCGTGACAAAAGAAAGATTTTGTGACATCTTTCTTTTCAATATATATATATATATATATATATTTTCAATATATGTATATATACGCCAACGCATGTGTGCTAACAGAAACGAAGTTAAAAGGCTGCAAAAAAGATCATTCATCGATGTACATACTAGATGCAAATTAATTGAACAAACACACGCGACTGGTTAACGAAAATGATGTGAAAAATAATAATTAGTAAATAGATTATGCAAGGAAGTTTCAAAAAAAAAAAAAACAACGTGAAAATACAACCTTATTTAAATACAAAATAAAACCTGTCACTATTTGCTTAATCTTATCTTACTTTTTTAAATCGCTAAATCGCTTTACTGAGTAGATAATAAATTATATAACCAATCCGCAGAGCTCTGATGAATATTCAAATCTTTCGTAAAAAAGTGCCAACTCATTAAATTATATATATAATATATGTAAACGTGCTTGCTATCACACAGATAAAAATTGTGCCCTCTATTCATGTTATGGTGTTTTCGTTTCTAACAAAAAAATTTCGCCATTTGATTGCCCCTTTCGCTTTTCGTGTTCGATTCTAAAATAAAGGCAAGCGGTGAGAAAATTGTGTGTTCATTTCTTAAAATGTCGCACTATTGTCAGGGCAAAAAAAAGGCACATTCTCCGCCCTTTGAAGCTTTGTCAGGGGAGAAGGTTGCCATGAAAATCAGACAAGACATCAAACACATTTTGCAGCGCGGAAGGGCAACATTTTTTTTGAAAAAAAAAAACACGAAATCACCATTAAATGAATCTATGCTCCCAAGCGCCACTATACGCGTATTTATATCACAGCATATTTATCAAACACAAAAATCAAAAAATAAAAAACTAATATAGTACTCCATGTCCATTTATTCATTGCAGTTAATACATACATATTTAAGTGTTGTGAATTTAATAAAATATCAAGTGTCAAGTAATATCACTGCCAATTTGACTTACGGAAGCATCTATAACATACGCCGCCATGCAGTCATTTAAGGCGGACGAGTTGCCGCGCAATCCACGCGAGAGCGCAAATCCCCTCTCCACAATCATGTTTTGGTAAGTGCCGTCTTATAATATTTAATATTTACATATGTATATATTTGTATGCACTTAGATTAAGATACCCACATGCATTAGTACATACTTATGTATGTATGAAGCAAAGTAATTTACTTAATTTAAGATTTTATATACTTACATACACATACATACTTAACTATTTAAACAGCTTCACTACGTGACTTTCGTAGTGCGTATTTTTCATCAAGTTATATGACTGCAATCGTAGACAAAATAATAACATATTTTTAACGACTAAAATATAATATCAAACTGAACGATATTATAACTTTGTTGTACATAGTTAAGGTTTATAATTTTGCTTTCAAATATTAAACGAGGTTTCTGAAGAATGTGCTTTCATAATTCTAAAAACGATGGTCAACTTATTTTTGAATTCAGAGTGACATCGAGACAAGGCCTCAACCAAACTATGCTCAAATGTTAGTAGCCATGGTCCTAACATGGCATATAGTTGTTGGAAAATTTAAGTGTTGGCGGAGGACTTCAATTTTCCTCGTGAAACGTTTATGGACATAAATCGAGAAAACAACTAAAAATGCGCATGATTGATTTATTTTAAAGCATACCCCCCATACAAACGTTATCTCTTAAACACAACACCTTTAAAATCCCATAAAAAAAGCGCACCGATGAATATATAAACATATGACTCTGATAAAATCGCAGCCGGAAGTGAATATTATTGTTGAGACATCAAGTTGTCAATCACCATTGTAACCAATGCGAATGAGTTCAATAAACTTACAATACAAATTTAGAGTTATCATAAACATATTGTAATGTATGAAAGAGTGTAATAAATATAAATTGCTTCCAAAATGATAACACTAGTGTCTATAATAATAATAATAATAATAGATTAGTGTTTGGCCGAGCTTCTCCTCCTACTAGTGGCGTACGCCTAGACTAGCTTTCACCAAAATCATATATGTAAATCAGATTCAAATTCCATACAAAATTCGACAAGTTTTCATCAAAATTTTTTTAAAAGGTTTTAATCTAGGTACGCAGTTTTATAGCCCAACTAATTTTAGTCCATATAATATAAATAAAATAAAATGCTACAGAAGAAAATCGCAATGAGAATTTTTTACCTATTCTGAAAATTTTCTAAAAATTGACTTAGCAACATTTCACTTTAAGCTGGCGACATAATAGAATTTAGCAGCATTTTTTCTTACAACATTTTAACCTATTAACTTTAGTTTTNATTATGTACAAGCTTGGACTTTTGCTACAGGCCTTCAGGAGCCCTCAAGGTACCTCAGTTCATTTGGCTATCCCAGGCAAGCAGAATTCTTAGTTAATTTTTCCATGGCAACAAAATATATCAAATTTGTCGAATTTTAATATTTTTCAATCCTGGTAGTGGATTCCTAAAAATTATTTAAAAATTTTGAAATTTTTTTCGATGTCTTTATTTTGTACGTAGAACAAACTGAAAGGGGGTGCTCCATACAAAATTCCGAAGTTTACATTTTCCTCTCTTCCATCTTAGATTGAAACTATAGGATTGCAACACTTGTTAGCTCAGATGGGTTGCTTGCAAGAAACTGGTGTTATATAAATTTTGTATCGTTGCACATAACTTCGACTCAGTTTGCAGACCGCTTCTCCAATTCCGATTATTACTATAACAAATAATAACATTTGAGTCGGGTTCCGGTCGAATTTTTTTTTACTTTTTCTAATATATATACTTATATATAGATGATAACGATTGACGCCATTTTGGTTTTTTTTTAATCCACTGCATAAAATATATGTACGTATGTACAAACATACATACATTAACGGTTGGCAATTTAAAGATAAGTGCAAATGTGTTAAAAAATCGTTTAAATTATGAATGGTAAGAAAATAGTCTTTTTAGATAACGGTACAAAATACGTGTTGATTTTACTACCTGATTATTAGCGAGCAAAGTAACTAGCTGACCATGGGTCTAAATCTAATCAAAATCTACATAACTCCAAAGTGCACTATGAATTTTAATTACATTTTTTTTTTTTATCTGTAAAATCTACAATTTTAATTTGGTTTTTGTTCTCCAGACGCCACTATCGAATTTGTGTGTAGAATCGCCCGCTGATTCCAAAAATCTAGTTCATTTTTTATTCTATGGATATGTTTTCGAGATATTTCCAATTTACCCCGTTATTCAGCTTAAAACAAAAGGTAGTTCCACTTAGTCACTTATATGTATCTCAAGAACCAAATGGAAATGGAATACGGCAAAGTAGTTTTTTTTCATATAATTTTTAGAAGTGCAAGCTTAGACTAAAAATTTAAACTATTAAACAAGTAAGTAGATAAGTGCGTAGAAAATGAACAAAAAAAAAAAATTACACTGAAGAGGGCAAGACGCCGAAACCGGGTTGTTTCCAAAACAAAATTGACAAGGGATGACTGAAAATCGTTCCAAAAATACATCAGACGTAGAAAATCTTATCGTGCCATTGACGTTTGCTACTATGCGTTAAGTAAATATCTCTAAACTGATTATCTACTTGTATATACGCGTTGCAAAATGGTACCGCTTTTGTAAAGTATGTCAGTATGTGTGTATATATTTGACCGAGACTTTCAAGAAGGTTGCACTTAAAATATTCTAATTGGCAAATTTCGGGCGTAATTCACAGCGCCTTAACCCTTAAGTGGCGTTGCTCCAAAAATATACATTTATGGCAGCGTTGCTAAATACGGCCAAGCTAAGTTATAACATTTGTTTTTTTTACATTGATACACTGGCATTTTTTGGTTACGATTGCTATTAGTGTGCCTTAGAAATAAAATAAAAAACTGACTGTCAAAATTCATAGAAACAAAATAAGCTCAAAAAGCTTTTTAAAGTGACTTTTATGTGGACGACGATTTTGAAATGCACCAGCAAACGAAAAGATATAGATCTCTAGCACATCTATCTACCTCAATAATGTTGTTAGGTGGAGTGATATACGTATATCCTTTTAAAAATAAAATTCTAAGTATATTTTAAATTGCGTGAAAACTGACGAACTTTACTTCGCAGCAATTATGTGAGGTGCAAAAAAACCTTAAATAACTTTGACTTAAATTGTATCTTTTGCCAGCAATATCAGCGGAAAAAAAATTAGTAAAGCAGGGACCGTAACCGTTATGGTTTTTATTATAAAAATCATAAATTAATCGTTTTTCGTGACTTTTATTTTTTGATAATTTTTTTTTCGTTATTTTATGATTTTTTTCGACCTATTTTAATCCTTATTTTGGGATTTTTATTTTTTAGATCAAAAATAATAAAATAACATTAAAACAAAAAAAATCAAAGACTAACGATTTTTTATCGAAAAAATAAAAATCATAAAATAATGATTAAAAATGATCGTAATTACATCAATCGAAAAATAATGATTATACAAGAATTTTAAATAAAAATCCTTCGTGATAACGATTATTTTCGGTCCCTGAAGTAGAGAACTAAACATGCTCCGCGTACTAAGAAAAATGTATAGCTAATTTAAAGGAAAATTAAGAATCCATATATGAAAACCTTCTTTTATAAAAAAAATGCATACCATATGTATTTGTATGTACATATGAGATTTCTAACGGTAGCTCACTGATTAATATGTTGAACATACATATCGACGGTACTTTGGCTAAACCTCTTATCTAAAAAAAAAAACAGTACGTAGCTCGTAAAATTCATTCAAAATAGGCATTAAAATGCTACGATTCATAATTAACTAAAAAGTCCTTAACCTTCAATATTCAGTAAAAAGGTTATTAAAATGATTTTCCGTTATCAATAGAAGAGTATTTTGTTAGACAGTGTTGTTTATAAGTGTTTTGAGATACGAGGTTTTTCCAAAGTACCGTCGATATACCAATTAAGATTGTAAATACATAAATGTTGAAAACAAAATTGTCCACATCAGAACGGTATATAATAAGTATTTAAGTACCTCGGAAGTGTACAACAAAATATTATATTTCCTTCTCTAAAGGCCATTCCACACGTTTTTTTTTTTTGGTCAAGATTGGAACAAAGCCCACTATTTTCCATCACGCGATTGGGATACCAATTTATACCACATTTTATGTATCTAATATGTGTTCTAAATTTGAAGCATATCTGACCAGAAGTAGGGTTTTTTTTAGGATAGATAGTTCTCGATCCGTGCGCCATCTATCAGCATACAAACACGCTGCTGCTTCTAAATTCCTTTACGCAAAATAACAATCATTAAATTCAATTTAGAAATCCGGGAAAAAAATGGTTCCCAAAGAAATGATGTATCAAATTTCATTATCTTATCATAACCGCTTCCGGAGATAAGCGATAAGAGAATATCAGTTTGTATGGGAGGTGCCACACCCCGATTTCCAATACCCACCACTTTTCACCATAAGTACGGTATTAATAACATATGTAGTTATGTAAAATTTCAGTACATTATCGTGAGCGGTTCCAGAGATAAGCGATATGAAAATATCAGTTTGTATGGGAGGTGCCACACCCCCTCTTACAATGCCTAGCCATAAGTAGGGTATTTACAATTTCTGTTTCCGTGCCAAGCTTCATAAAATTTCTGTTTACTGTGCGAATTGGTTTAATTTAAGAACTGCAGATCGATGACGCTAGAGTCGAGTTATTCAGACGATCGGAAGGTCTGATTTTGATATTAGAAAAATATGCTACAAGTGCGATTAAATATACAAATATACTGGAGTCGAGATGTTCAGAAAATCTTTATTTGCAGGCCCATTCTGCTCGTTAGCGAGGCTTTTGTGACCGCTATTTTAGGTACGTACGTTGGTAACGTTGTCAATATATTCAGCTATGAAGTTTTGTAGAAATTCTAGCATTGCATATTTTACGGGAAACTATTTTGTTCGCCGCCTATAATAATTCCAAAGTCTTACAAGGATTTTCCAATGATCTTCCAAGGACTTTGAAATTACGTGATTCAGTAAAGCTCGTTATTCGTCTCCTACTATCTGCACCGCATTTTTAAGTTATTTATACATTTAAAGAAAAATTTTCGTAGAAAAAGCTACCAATACATCTAAAAATTTTACCATGTCTTAGTTAGACAAATAACATTCGATCTTTACGTAATTCATACCAGTCCAAAGACCTGATTGGCAGCTATGGACTAAGGAGTATTAATATAAGAAATTTTTAAATCATTTAACAAAAATACCTTTTTCCTTTAAATATTTACCCGACTGTTGTTATCTGCTAAATAAATTGTGCTATGTACACATGTACATACAGTGGCGGTCAAAAGTGGATGAATGGTTTTTCGTTTTTAATATTTACAATGTTTTTCAAGCTATTAATTTGGTGATATTTTTTATAGAAATATGGTTCATACTTTACCAAAGACGATATAAATAACACTTTCAAACTTTATAAAGAATTAAAAAAAAAATCCACAAATTTTTAACTAAATTTCGAGCTTTTTAACCTGACTTTTTTTTAATTTTTTGGGTATGCTGTTAACAAGATTATAAAATTTTAGTAAATTAAGTGTAAGTTTTGAGCGGCTAAAAAATCGCATTGATTTTTAATATTTTTTTTTTTTGTAGACGCGTTTTGCACTTTTTACCATATAAACATGAATTTTTTGTGGAAGAATATGCGCAAGATTTTTTGCGAAAAAAAGTCAACGCCAGTTTTATACGAAAAAAACAGAAAAAGCCGCCAGCAAAAAAAAAAAAAAATTATTAAAAACCAATGCGATTTTTAGCCGCTCAAGACTTGAAATTTTATAATCCTGTTGACTGCACACCCAAAAAATTGAAAAAAATTCTGTTTAAAAATGTTTAAAAAACTCGACAATTACATAACAGTTGTGGAATTTTTTTTAAATTCTGTATAAAATTTGAAAGTGTCATTCATATGGTCAAAGCATGAACCATATTTTAATAAAAAAAAAAATATCAAAAAAATTTTAGCTTTGAAAACCATTGTAAATATTAAAAACGAAACACCATTCATCCATTTTAGACCGCCACTGTATGTATGCTAATAAAGCTGTTGTGTTGAGAAACATTAAAAAAAAAGATAAAGATTTCATTAAAAATATCGCTCAGTCATCACGACTATGATATAAAAGTTATGATTATAATTAAACAGAGAGTACTACTAGCGAACCACTCGTATACCGATTATAATATGCTACGATGACTCATGGTCGCTTTGACAACTACTCGCATTTTCAGACTTGGCCACATGGATTAGCTATTTAGTATCAGTTAATTAGACCGCACCTTCTTGCAAAACATACCCTTGAGCCTAAATACTTTTGCAAGGCAATTCGAAATTTTATTTTGGTCTAATCTAGGGAATTGCTATAAAATTCTTGCTTCAATAGTTCTACAGGATAAGAACTGAGTTTTCGTGACTACGTACTAGAACGGGGTACTTGCGGTCAATGAACTTTGGAAAACAAAACTTCTCGTCGAGATAAGAACATTGATATATCCCACTTAAAGATCCGACTTTAAATGCCGAGCATTTAAGGAAAAATTTAAAACGGCAAAAAAAAAACAAATTATTTATTGAAATTGCCTTGCAAAAATACTTTAGACCCCAAGGTATACAGCGATTTTTTTTTTTTGGTACAGTCTAATGTACTTACATTAGTATTAGATATATTATGAAATAATTTTAATTAAGAAAAATTAATTGTACTGTTTTCTTTTCAGCTACACTATGCCAGTGTTTTTCAAAGGCCGCAAAAAGACTTTGGACGAAAGTGATTTATATCGAGCTTTAAATACCCACAGATCAGGTAAGAAAAAGGCAATAAATAAAAATAGAATCGGTTTATTATCAAAATTTTGATGCAGATCGGTTCGTTTAAAGGAGTTATGTTGAACTGCATCAAATTTGCCATATCGAAAAAATGCAGGCTTATATCCTTTGGTTTTGTGTTGTGTAAAAATGTATGTACATTAGGGTGCATCATCAAAAAAATTTGCAGACTATAAAACATATTACACGAGCATTTTAAGACTTCCGCCATAATATGCATTTCGGAAAAATATTAAGATTTACGACAGGTAGACCGAACAGCTCGAAAAATTAAATTACTTATTTGGATTCCGTTGATAAAATGTTTAGAAATTTTTACCCAGACTTTTTGAGCTTAAACTCTTCTATCATCTCAGGTGATTCTTTTGAAAAAAATATTTTAAAAACTTTTTTTTTTATTTATAAAAAATCCATTTTTGGAGGTATTTTTAAATAATATTGTTCGGGACTACATATTTTATTAAATTTAATAATTCCGATGGAAAAACAGCATCGATTTTTTCCTCGTTTGTAGAGTGATGCAACCTAATGTACACACACATATATAGAAATAATAAATATCTTAATAAAATTATAAGCTAATTCGTAAAAAAAGTTTAAAAATAACCAGCAAAAAAGAAACTTAAACACATGTAAACCTCTACGTACTACTAAATTCATAAAGCCCCTACATACTATAATAATAATAATAAATCCATTAAAAGTGCAATCGATGCTTGTATGTATGTACATATGTTATCGTTTTTTTAACTGCTCGATTATTTTTATTATTTTTACGGCCTGTATTTGGTGCGTAAAGCAATGCATTTCAAATGCATTGGGGGAAATTGTGTGTCTACCCAGCAGGGAGAACTTTGTCTCAGATAGCACTATTTGTGATTTATAGATAAGTACGTACTAAATTTTCGGATATACAACCTTTTAAAATCGTAAACACACTACCACTCTGCAGAACTTGCCTTCGATCCCGAGCAACATACATATAAATNTCGGATATACAACCTTTTAAAATCGTAAACACACTACCACTCTGCAGAACTTGCCTTCGATCCCGAGCAACATATAAATTAGAAAAAGTATTTTCGAACAGCGGTCGCCCCTCGGTAGGCAATAGTAAACCTTCAATTGTTTTCCTGCCGTGAAAAGGCGTCGCATAAAATCCATTTGCCGTTTGGAGGCGACGTAAAACCGTAGTTTTGCTTTCCTTCTAAATAATACTAAAGGCCTTTCACGAGTAGAGTACATACATACATATGTACATTATAATTTTTTTTTGTGGCCTATTGGTACCAAATATAAAAATTGCTACAACGCATACAGATTCAATAGTCAAGATTAGGTCAAAGCCCATAATTTTTCCATCACACGATCGGGTTAAATAGTGACTCCAAATTTTGGTCAAATGCCCATTCATCTGACGAAGCCATATATACATACATATGTACATATATGTGCATACATACATACTAGTCACGTATCCGAAATGGGATGTCATTTTCAGAAATTTTCTCACAAGGCACTATGATTATAATTAGTATGTGTGTCTGTATGAAAGATATGGGGCTATATTATGCAAATATTTGAAATATTCTGAATAAACAGCTAATAAAGGTGGGAAGCTATGTACATATATCGGTAACATAATATCCCAGTGCGAAGAGGTTATGTTTTAAAGTATAAAGTCACCTAGAACCAGGAACCAAGAAAAATATAATGTCAAGAACGTTCCCATACAAGAACCAAGTGGGAACAAAAGTGTTGAGAGCAGTTTAAACGGTAACCAAATGAGAACAAAAGGTTCAAGACCGTTTCTGTAAAGAATGAAATGCGAACAAAACTCTCGGGAATGTTCTCAAGAAGAATAGAATGAGAACGAAACTTTCGGGAACNACATATAAATTAGAAAAAGTATTTTCGAACAGCGGTCGCCCCTCGGTAGGCAATGGTAAACCTTCAATTGTTTTCCTGCCGTGAAAAGGCGTCGCATAAAATCCATTTGCCGTTTGGAGGCGACGTAAAACCGTAGTTTTGCTTTCCTTCTAAATAATACTAAAGGCCTTTCACGAGTAGGGTACATACATACATATGTACATTATAAATTTTTTTGTGGCCTATTGGTACAAAATATAAAAATTGCTACAATGCATACAGATTCAATAGTCAAGATTAGGTCAAAGCCCATAATTTTTCCATCACACGATCGGGTTAAATAGTGACTCCAAATTTTGGTCAAATGCCCATTCATCTGACGAAGCCATATATACATACATATGTACATATATGTGCATACATACATACTAGTCACGTATCCGAAATGGGATGTCATTTTCAGAAATTTTCTCACAAGGCACTATGATTATAATTAGTATGTGTGTCTGTATGAAAGATATGGGGCTATATTATGCAAATATTTGAAATATTCTGAATAAACAGCTAATAAAGGTGGGAAGCTATGTACATATATCGGTAACATAATATCCCAGTGCGAAGAGGTTATGTTTTAAAGTATAAAGTCACCTAGAACCAGGAACCAAGAAAAATATAATGTCAAGAACGTTCCCATACAAGAACCAAGTGGGAACAAAAGTGTTGAGAGCAGTTTAAACGGTAACCAAATGAGAACAAAAGGTTCAAGACCGTTTCTGTAAAGAATGAAATGCGAACAAAACTCTCGGGAATGTTCTCAAGAAGAATAGAATGAGAACGAAACTTTCGGGAACGTTTTCAATGAGAACAAAATGAGAACGAAAGTATCGATACCGTTTTCAAGGAGGATTACATAAAAACAATAGTCTGGGGAACGTTCTGCTAGAGAACAAANATATATGTGCATACATACATACTAGTCACGTATCCGAAATGGGATGTCATTTTCAGAAATTTTCTCACAAGGCACTATGATTATAATTAGTATGTGTGTCGGTATGAAAGATATGGGGCCATATTATGTAAATATTTGAAATATTCTGAATAAACAGCTAATAAAGGTGGGAAGCTATGTACATATATCGGTAACATAATAACCCAGTGCGAAGAGGTTATGTTTTAAAGTATAAAGTCACCTAGAACCAGGAACCAAGAAAAATATAATGTCAAGAACGTTCCCATAAAGAACCAAACGGGAACAAAAGTGTTGAGAGCAGTTTAAACGGTAACCAAATGAGAACAAAAGGTTCAAGACCGTTTCTGTAAAGAATGAAATGCGAACAAAACTCTCGGGAATGTTCTTAAGAAGAATAGAATGAGAACGAAACTTTCGGGAACGTTTTCATTGAGAACGAAAGTATCGATACCGTTTTCAAGGAGGATTACATAAAAACAATAGTCTGGGGAACGTTCTGCTAGAGAACAACACGAGAACAAAGTTTTGCGAATTTAACGTTAAGAATGAGAGGAGCGTCTGCGTGATGCGATGAAAAATCATTTCAGTGAGAACCATGATTGCTAATTCTAAGCCAGATCATTTATCATTAATGTGCTNGGGAACAAAAGTGTTGAGAGCAGTTTAAACGGTAACCAAATGAGAACAAAAGGTTCAAGACCGTTTCTGTAAAGAATGAAATGCGAACAAAACTCTCGGGAATGTTCTCAAGAAGAATAGAATGAGAACGAAACTTTCGGGAACGTTTTCAATGAGAACAAAATGAGAACGAAACTTTCGGGAACGTTTTCAATGAGAACAAAATGAGAACGAAAGTATCGATACCGTTTTCAAGGAGGATTACATAAAAACAATAGTCTGGGGAACGTTCTGCTAGAGAACAAAACGAGAACAAAGTTTTGCGAATTTAACGTTAAGAATGAGAGGAGCGTCTGCGTGATGCGATGAAAAATCATTTCAGTGAGAACCATGATTGCTAATTCTAAGCCAGATCATTTATCATTAATGTGAACTGTCTATTTATGAAACAATTTTTCATATTCTGTGCAAAAACAGTTAGTGTCTTAAGTCTTTCGTTGGCATAATTTGCATAATAATCTTTCAGTTCTTTTTTATTTAATGTTAATATCCAAACATTTCAAACTAATGGAACGCTATGACGATAATATTGTTTTCGCTTCCTTTCTTCGCGAATAGTTCAGAGAAGATTTGCTCCCGTTTTGTTCTCTGTTAGAAAGCTCCTGAGACTTTAGTTCTAAAATGGTTCTGCGAGAGAAAGTTTCATAGACTTTTGTTCCCGTTTTCTTCTTTGCCAGAATGTTCCTTAGACTTTTGTTCCCAGTTTGTTCTCTTAGAAATGTTCCTCAAAGTATTGTTCGCATTTTGTTCTCTTTTGGGAACGTTACACAGATAGTTTTATTCTCATTTCAGTTTAGTTCTTTGGGCGTTCTTGGGAACAAAGCTACGAGAACGACATTCAGTTTCGATCATACCTTTTGTTCTCAGTTCTAGGTTTTTGATGACATAAAAAAAATATTTTATGCTACATACATTCATATAAAAAATACAAATATTGAGTTATGACACTATTGAAGTAAATGAGCGATATATATACATACATACTTGATATATCTGAAAAAAACAAAACGATAGTCGAGTTNTCCTCAAAGTATTGTTCGCATTTTGTTCTCTTTTGGGAACGTTACACAGAAAGTTTTATTCTCATTTCAGTTTAGTTTTTTGGGCGTTCTTGGGAACAAAGCTACGAGAACGACATTCAGTTTCGATCATACCTTTTGTTCTCAGTTCTAGGTTTTTGATGACATAAAAAAAAATATTTTATGCTACATACATTCATATAAAAAATACAAACATTGAGATGGATATGCAGAAATCACCGCTATCTCTAGAACCAAATATATATTCATTTTTACCATGGGATTATATGTATGCAAATTCAAAACTTTAAATCCANTCGTAAAAGAATGGAAGTGTGCGTAATTTATTTCATTTTAGAAAATTCGGAAAAAAATCGGATGGGATCTTTCCGAATTCGTTAAAATTTCTTTACGATTCAGAATACTCTGAAAAAATGG